GGATGGTTAATCGGGGATGATCTTGCCCTGAACAGGGGGCTGGACTAGTTGATCTCAGGAGTCCCTTCCTGCCCTGCTTTCCTATGAACACAATGGGCAAAACATTGAGAGGAGAGAAATTAAGAGGTAACGAGAAAATTGGAACGATAGATGCAGCTGGCATCTGGAAACAAGGAGAGTGTGGGTGAGGGGGGATGAACAAAGAGCCTGTCCCACATGGCACAGCAGAAGACTTTTGTACCAAAGTGAAAGGTTGGTTGAAGGGATAAGATGCTAAACAAGAGAGATACAGGGGGAAGGCATAGTACAGAAATGCATGGGTTTTTTAATGGTTGGATCAGGCTACTGGAGCATTTAAAACAGTGCGTTACAGAAAAACATACAAAGGGGCAAGGAAATTGCAGCCCCTTTGTGGGGCTGAGAGAGGGAAGGAAGTAATGCTCGCACGGAGATGTGAGGGCTTGCAAAAGGGAGAGATTCAGGGCCCCTTTCCTTCTGCAGATGTTGTTGAGGTTGAGTCCAAGTTTAATTTGTCCCAACTTTGCCTTATTCTAGTTGAAAGCAAAATTGCCTTCCAGTATACTTCACTGGTCCTGTCTTCACCACTGTCTCTTTCCACGAGAGGGCAGTAGAATAAACGGAATGATGTGCTTTTCCTGAACCCAGCTGCAGTGAAGAGATCCTCATTTAAATGTGAATCTGACTATTTCAAGTTTTGTCCTTTCACTTTTGCTTGAAGTGTTGCATGGCAGGCCAGGTGCCCAGGGCAAATGAGTTGCAGGTTATTTTGGTAAGTGCAGAATAATTTGGCAATTTCTCTAGTGGGCTGGGGTGTGCTGACCTTCTAACAGGGCAAAAATCTATGCTTTAACATGACATTTGGCTGTTCCCCTTGGGACCTTTGCCGGGAAAAGGGTCACAGAACTGGGTTTTAGCAGCTTCTGAATCACCTAATCAACCAAAGGAAAGTGGCTTTTTGCTGCCAGCTTCTAACTGTTGCTAAGTATTTGACCCCATTTCCAGACTGCCTCTCAGCCTTTTATATGTGTGCTCTCACAGCAGCCGTTGTTTTGCAGATGGGAAGCTGAGCCAAAGATGTTGTGCGACACTCCCAGCCCCCAGGGTGTTATCAGGGATTTGAACCCAGGCCTCCTGAGTCTTGGCCTAGTGCCCCAATGACTGTATCTGACACTAATTTCTTTTGCCCATTAGAAGGAATGCACAATGTGGACAGGCATTTCCTTCTAAAACAGCCCCCAAGATCCTTCCCCACCAAATTATCTTGAAATGAATGAATCAGCATTTCAAGAAAAGTAAATCACATCTAACCTCCCCCCCTTATGAACCATATCCCCAAGCTGCATTTTTGCACTGAAAAGAGAGGACTTGAGACTCCATGAGGCCCTTTTAGGGATTTTGCTATTGCTGTTCATCTTGTGTGGAAGGTACTCAGCTGTGACAGTGACAAGCAGTAGCATCGAAGCCTCAGGCAGACTAGTAAGAGAGCGTGAGATCTGAAAAATCAACCTATTTTCTTTCTATTGATTTGTGCAATTCATTTGACACAATAAAGATTCTCAGCTGAGGTTAATTGTTATAGCTCTTTTTAGGACTTTCCCCTCTCTATAATATTTTGTTGTTGATCTATGGAGCACAATTCATAGTTTCATAGATTTAGGGTCGGAAGGGACCTAGTAGATCTTCTAGCCCGACCCCCCGCCAGGGCGGGAGAACAACAAAACCCCAAAACAAAAACGGGACTCAAATGAGTCCAGCCAGGTAGGCATCCAGCCTCTTCTTAAAGACCCCCAGGGTAGGGGCCAGCACCACTTCCCTTGGAAGTTGGTTCCAGCTCCTAGCCGCCCTAACTGTGAAGTAGTT